CAAAATCCTAGAGGAGATCATAGGCAGTAACCTCTTTGACCTCAGCCACAGCAACTTCTTTGAAGACACGTCTCTAAAGGCAAGGTTAACAATAGCAAAAATGAACTTTTGGGAATTTGTCAAGATAAAAAGCTTTTGTACAGCAAAGGAAACAGCAAAACAAAGAGGCAACCCACAGAATGGAAGAAGATATTTGCAAATGACATTACAGATAAAGGGCTGGTATCCAAGATCTATTAAAGGACTTATCAAATTCAACACCCAAAAAACAAATAATCCAATCAAGAAATGGGCAGAAGACGTGAACAGACATTTCTCCAAAGAAGACATGCAAATGGCAACAGACAACATGAAAAAATGTTCAACATCACTAGCCATCAGGGAAATACAAATCAAAACCACAATGAGTTAGCACCTTACACCAGTTAGAATGACAAAAATTAACCAGGCAGGAAACAACAAATGTTGGTGAGGATGTGGAGAAAGGAGAACCCTCTTACACAGTTGGTGGGAATGTAAGCTGGTACAGCTACTCTAGAAAACATTATGGAGTTTCCTCAAGATGTTAAAAATAGAGCTACCCTACAACCCAGCAATTGCACTACTAGGTATTTACCCCAAAGATACAGATGTAATGAAAAGAAGGGGCACATGCACCCTAATGTTCATAGCAGCAATGTCCGCAATAGCCAAACTGTGGGAGGAGCCTACAAGTCCTTCAACAGATGAATGGATAAAGATATGGTTCATATATACAATGGAATATTACCCAGCCATCAGAAAGGTTGAATACCTACCATTTGCATGGACATAGATGGAACTGGAGGGGATTACTGTAAGTGAAATAAGTCAAGCAGAGAAAGACAATTATCATCTGGTTTCACTCATGTGGGACATAAGGAATAGTGTGGAGGACCACAGGGAAGGGAGGGAAAACTAAACGGGAAGAAATCAGAGAGGGAGACAAACCATGAGAGACTCTGGCCTCCAGGAAACAAACTGAGAGTTACAGAAGGGAGGGGGTGGGGGGATGGAGTAACCGACTGATGAGTACTAAGGAGGGCACATGTGGTGATGAGCACTGGGTGTTACATGCAACTAATGATTTATTGAACACTACATCTGAAACTAATGTTCTGTATGTTGGCTAACAATTATAAAAAAAAATAAAGGAGTTCTCAATGTACTTAGAGTATACTGGTGAAGATATGTTAAGTAATGAAATGAAATGAATATGAAAACTAAGGAAAGTGTGATTATAAGTTTGGATAGTGCTCAGATGGAAGGAACATTGCCTTATGAGACCCTGACCTAGGCTGAGGGGTCAGGAAAGGCTCTTTTGTAAAAAGTAACACTTGAGCTGATTGGAAGGATGAGTAGGAGGTTACTAAGGAAAGGAATTGGGGTGTGGATGAAATGAGTGTGTGCACGTATGTGCATACTCATATGTTTATAAAGAGTGCTGAGTGTGGGGCTTGGCGTATGGTCAGCATTGCATGTAGCGTATGCTGGTAGCAGTACTTGCAGTGCTGGCATCATCAGCTGTTGGCATCTGACACTGCCCTTATCATGCCCTCTTGCTGATGTGATGGAACAGTTAGCCCTATGGTACAGATGAAGCCCCTGCATCAGAGATGAAGTGATGTACTTGGGGCCACACAGCTAAGCCGATGAAGGTGCCAGATTTCAAACTACATCTCTCCCCCTCATCTCGAATATTTCTTCTATAGCCATTTCAGTACTTGAGATTTCAGAGTTCATCTTCTGTGAAACGTGAAGGAGATGAAGTCAAACTTTGATAGCTTCTTTCCACCCCAGGGTCTGCTCTGCGCTGCCAGACCAGCTCCCTCCCCCTCAGCTCCCACCTGGCCTAGGAGTTTACTCTTCCTTTATTTACTCCTGTTGCATTTTGGTAGTTTTCCCATCAACATCTTTCTTTTTTGTTCTCAGTTTACATGGGCCATTTTTTTTTAAGTTTGTGTGAAAGATTGCATGAGTTCAGTGTGAAATGAGTGAATTGGGGGTGGAGGGTACACAGTATCCTGTCTGGTTTAAAGGGGACATACTCCCTTCACTTCTTGGAGTATTATTTGGAGAAGGTTGCCAGTTTGGCTTCTACTCTTATTCTTAAAAACATCTCCAGTGGCATTTGTTATAATCATTGTAACAGACTCACTCCCCTAACCCTCTTCTACCCTTTAAGATCACTCATTCCCAGGTTCATTGCCTGTTCCATGATAAATAGGTTGTGTGGAAACCTATTTATCCATGATAAACCTCCCCTGTGAAAACTGAGGTTCCTTCAGTTTTCCGTTTTGAATCCTAGAGACTTTCCCTAATATTATTTTCCTTAGAGACTTTTCCTGATGTTACCAACTGCTTTGTATCCTATCACAGATGGCATATTTTATGAAACATTTTATCCTGTAAATTTAACTCCTGAGAAATCACCAGACTATATGTGAAGAACATGAGGTTCTATAGAAGGAAGGTGTTATGTAGATTTATTTTTTTAAACTAATTGTAATCATACTGGTATGCTATTGTGTTACTTTTTTTGGAGAATTAAGATAATATCACTTCAAAGTAAAACAGTTTGAGATATTGCCATGGGCATAATGTATTTTTCATGATTAGAATAGCTTCTCTGTTGGATCTCCCTGGCCTATTTTAATCTCCTGTTAGTCCCATACTGTTCTGTAGTCCCAGGGGGACAGGCATTCTTTTTAGAAGAGATAACAGTTGATTTTCACTTCCCAGGATTTGGCTCTGGCAGATAACTATTTTCTTTTTTGAATTTTAACAGTGTTATTGAGGTATAATTTACATTCCACAAAATTCGCACATTTAAAATTCCATTATTTTTTGGAAATTTATAGAGTTGTACAACCATCTAACAATCCAGTTTTGGAAGTTTTCCATCATCCTGGAAAGTTCCATGGAACGTATTTGCATCAATCCCTCGTCCCTCCTCTCCAGCCCCATGCAACCACTGATTTGCTTCTTGTCTTTTTAGATGTGCCTTTTCTGGGCATTTCATGTAAATAGAATCATACAGTATATAGTCTTTCGTGCCTGGCTTCTTACATTTAGCAAAATGGTTTTGAGAAGCTCATCCATGTTGTATCAGTAGCGTGTGGTTTTTTATTTCTGAGTGATGTTTCACTGTATGGGTATACCACATTTTGTTTTTGTCCACTAACCAGTTGATGGATATTTGTATTATTTCTGTTTGGGGGTGTGATATCAATAATGCTACCATGAACATTTGTGGTCTTTCTGTGATGTATATTTTCACTGTACTTGGGTAGATTCCTAGGGGTGAAATTGCTGGGTTGTTATGTTACATTCTCACCAGCGATGAATGAGGATTCTAGTTTCTCTACATCCTTATAAAAACTTGGTTTTGTCTTGATGACAGCCATTCCAGTGCCGTGTAACGGTATCTTATTGTGGTTTTAATATGCAGTTTCCTAATAAGTAATAATGTTAAGCATCTTTCCATGTGCTTATTACTTTTTCTAAATGTTTATTCCAATATTTTACCCATTTTGATGTTGGGTTGTCTTTTCATTATTGAGTTGTAATAGTTCTCTATATATTCTATATTTGAGTCCTTTATCAGATGTGTGAATTACGGATACTTTTTCCCAGCCTGTACCTTGGCTTTTTATTTTCTTAATTAAATCTTTTGAAGCACAGAAGTTTTTAAAATTGTAATGAAATCCAGCTTTTTATTTTATTTTTATGCTTTATGGTCCTGGTGACTTATCTGAGACTTCTTTGACTAAACCAGAGTCACAAAGATTTTCTCCTATGTTTATTTCTAAAAGTTTTATAGCTTTAGCTGTTACATTGAGGTCTGTGATACATTTTGAGTTGATTTTTGTGTATGCTTGAGGTAAGGGTCTGAGTTATTTTGTTGCATATTACTATCGAGTTGTTCCAACACCATTTATTGAAAAGACATATTTTCCCCCATTTAATTGTCTTGTACCTTTGTTGAAAGGCATTTTACTAAAAATATAAGGGTTTATTTCAGAACTCTCAGTCCTGTGCCATTTATCTGGTGGTCTATCTTTATGCTAGTTCCACACTATCTTTTTTTAAAAATATTTTATTTATTCATTTATTTGAGAGAGAGAATGAGAGAGAGCATGAGAGGGGGGAGGGTCAGAGGGAGAAGCAGACTCCCTGCTGAGCAGGGAGCCCGATGCGGGACTCGATCCCGGGACTCCAGGATCACGACCTGAGCCGAAGGCAGTCGCCCAACCAACTGAGCCACCCAGGCGCCCTACACTATCTTGACTATAGCTCTGTAGCAAGTTTTGAAATCAGTGTGAATTCTCCAAATTTGTTCTTATTTTTCAATATTATTTTGGCTATTCTAGTTCTTTGCCTTTTCATGTGTTTTAGAATTAGTTAGTAAATAGCTACAAAAAGACTGCTGGGATTTTGATTGCGATTGCTCTGACTTTATAGATCATTTTAGAGAGAATGGAATTTACCAATCCATGAACATTGCATATCTGTCCATTTTTGGTCTTATTTGATTCCTTTCATTAGCATTTTATAGTTTTTAGTATATAGATCTTACACATATTTTGTTAGATTTATATGTAAACATTTAATTTTAAGTGTGCTATTGTAATGATGCTCTTAAAAAAATTAATTTCTTATCCCTCCTCACCACTGCAAATTTGCTCAAACCCTATCAGTCATCTTCTCCCATGTTGTATTTGAATCTGGCCAAATACCAGCTACTTACTTTCTTACAAAATAAAGTAAGTAGCTGCTAAAATTTTTCATTTGTGGTTTCTAAGAGATAAAGCGATGAACAATTTTTATTATTTTGAGTCAGTGATTGGTCAGTAGTTGTTCAGTAAGACTGTCATGTTAGTCTGCTTACATTCCTAATAACGTAACACACAAACCTTTTCTCAAGAGGTTTGGTCTGTTGGGAAAGGGTGAGCACATAACCTTTCTTCTTTCCTCTGCAGGTGTCGCAGCTTCCCTGGAAGTCTCCGAGAGCCCTGGGAGTATCCAGGTGGCTCGGGGCCAGACGGCAGTCCTGCCCTGTACCTTCACTACCAGCGCTGCCCTCATTAACCTCAATGTCATTTGGATGGTCATTCCTCTCTCCAACGCTAACCAGCCTGAGCAGGTACTTTTGTTCATTCCATGCTACCTCTCAAATGTTAATCTTTTCAGAAGAGGTGGGTAGAAAACCATCCTGAGTACATATTTGATTTCTAGAATAAGGTAGCACTTTCAGTGAGCCTATGCTGTTTTAAATCTTACTCCTGTGTTGTTAGTCAACTATCAGAAGAGATTATCCTCTTTTTAAGAGACTTTTTTTTTCTTTTTTTAACAGATGGGAAGGGATTCCTTCTGAGAATTTTATGTAGGAATCTGGAATTTTATCAAAAGGCATTGCTGATAGGAAATACCAAGACAGAAAAAGCAAAGTATACTTTGACAGGAAGGGACTGACACTGACACAGGTGGATGAGAGTATGTTTTAGAGACTGATAATGTTAAGGAAGTAACATTAGATAGCAGTACTTGATTTATTTGGCTAATTTCACAAGTGTTTTAAAATAAACACAGCCAGGCATACTAGCCAGCCTCAAAGAGTCTCAGATAAATTAGGGTACATGAAAACAGAAGCTACTACCCAATTACAGGTAAAAGACCCATAATTTGTATTAACCATTGCAGAAAATGATGCTCAGAAAATTAATGAATAGTAATCATGATTATACCTTCATTCCCAAAGATAATTTATTACCATTATGAAGCTTTACTGCTTCAGTAAGCTTATTACTGCCTAAAAATATCTGATAAGCTAAATTTTCTGATATGAATTCAAATATGTATATTTAATAGGAGCTTTTTTTGTTTCTTCAAACCATGGGATTTATTATAATTAGACTGAGCCTTTGAGATTTTATTCAACCTTATCATTTTAGGAGGCAAAGAAAGACTTGACTGTAGTTACTCAAACATTTACAGATAGAGCTGAAATAGAACCAAGTTTTCATTCTCAGCCCACAAGGCTTTTTGTAACACCATCCTGAGTCCTGTCTCATGAATAGTTAACTTCAATAATAGAAATTGACGAAAGAAGAGTCATGGACCTACAACTCTTCTTCCCTTTTATGACATTCATTTATATTCAGGTTATGACTATGATCTATCATTTTGTCACCCTAGTAAGCATGAGAATGGCAGTGCTGATTTTTTAAACTTTTTATTTTGGAATTATTTGAATAAAAATATTTACGGGCTGATAGTAAGATTGCATTCAAGACATTTTCTATATTGTGATGACTTAGACAAGGGAACAGTGTTATTCCAACTTGGGATATGAGAATTTAGAATCCCAGAATATACCTATGCACTGGTGCTGTAGTAGAAAGTGGGTGACAATTATAAGATGAGAAATTCAGTTTTCCAATGTTTGGTGCAGTCTACTATCTACCAGTTAGTTATTGTTATGTGCTATGTGTCTAGAAGGGGGTGTAGTGGCTTATTTATTTATTTTGCTTTCTTTTTCAGGTCATTCTGTATCAGGGTGGACAGATGTTTGATGGTGCCCCCCGGTTCCATGGTAGGGTAGGATTTACAGGCACTATGCCAGCCACCAACGTCTCTATCTTCATTAATAACACTCAACTGTCAGATACAGGCACCTACCAGTGTTTGGTCAATAACCTTCCAGATAGAGGGGGCAGAAACATTGGGGTCACCGGTCTCACAGTTTTAGGTGAGTGACAGGATGTTCCAGGCACCTTGGTTTTGCTTATGATACGACTTTTCTCTTGAGTGTATTTATTTCTGCCCATCCTTCTGCACATTTGCTCTGATCATGTCCTTTTCCAGTCTCCTCTCCTGTCTGCTCTGTTTGGACTCTGCTTCTCTCTGCTTTTTACACATAATCTTCACATCCGTTTCTCCACTTCTGGTGGCCCTCTAAAGCTTCTTAAATGATTTGTTCTGAAAGTGGAGAAAGGGTGTAAAATACCATCACAAGTGGCCTCTCGCTTTTCTCCAGCGTTTACGGGATAGGACTTATCGTTGAGAGCAAGTTAAATCAAGAATCATTTATTCTGAGTACGAGGTAGAAGTTTCAGCACATGTGAGAAGAAAATGATTATTACATGTCTAGGTAACACTGAGTAGGCTCCCCACAGTTCTCAGCTTACACCTCATGTCCTGGTATAATTTCAGTAAGACCTCCTTTTACTCTGAAAAGTCTAAGAATGGTAAGTTATTTGATCAATTTGGTCTTAGTACTGAGACCATACAGATTTAGGGCCTTTTTCAAGGTGGCATAGACAATGAACAATAAAGCTAAGATTAAAATGTAGATCTCTTGTCTCAACCGGGTACTTCTCCCATTATACGGTATAGTTAGACTATCTCATACTAAATTAAGTCCATTCTAAACATGTTTTATTTCTCACTTCTGCCTCCGAAATAAAGCACTGCCTCCTGAATGCGTACTTGAGGCAGAGAAGGCTGATGCTCTTGATCGTCCTCCATCCTATTCATGTCTCAGAATCTACTCCCTTATTCCTTGGCAAATTTTGCCCTTCCGTTTCCCTCCCATTGTTGAGTTATTTGAGAATATCAGTACTGAGGCTTTTTGCCATTTTCCCTTTTTGGGTGACAAAATGCTATAGCCTTGGTGCCTTGTTTTCCCAGTCTTCAAACAAAATAAGAAAACTAAGGACCAGGTTGGGGATTTCTATCCTAGAAATACTGTAATATGGTTAAAATTATAGAATTTTTAATTATATTATTTTTATATCATGTATGTTACATTATATTTTATATGTTGTATATTTATATAGAATGTTTAATTACAGATTTTTACTAAATATGGAGATTTAAAAATGCTTGAGTACTGAATACAGAGTATTGATGGAATTCCAATGTTTTTCTGATGTTTATACCTCTAAGTTAGGTAACTGTCTTCCCACAGTATCTAAGTTTATTTTTTCAATTTTTAAAGGAAGAAAAAAAGTGCCTTAATTTATCTTATAGTTACTGCTACCTTCAAAGAATTATTTTGGGTTTCCTTGACAGCATCATAGTGGCAATGATGAAGGCAGTAATTGAGGAGATTGGTTTACCCCATCACAGCAGTTATGATTCTCTGAGATTTTTTACTTTTCCTACCTTATACCCTTTCATCGTTCTCTCTGCCCCCACCTGCTTTCTTTCCTGGCTCCTCTGTCTACTGCACTTACCTTTTATGCATTCATACATTCATTTTTGAAAGGTTGAACACATTTGTTGAAAAGTCATTAAGCAAGTAGTACATCATCACTTGGATTTAAACTTTACTTCTTATGTACCCCAGCATGAGACTCCAAGCTGTGGGCTTAGTTTATATTTTTATTTGCTTGCATTCTTACTGCAAAACACCACCTTCTTCCTTTACTGCTCTTTTTGGGTAATTTTTTATTTCGTGTCTTTTGTGTCCTTATCTGCCTTAACATGTCCACTGAGTTACGACCAAGCAGTAGACATATGTGAACCTTACTCTAACTTCCCCCACTACAAAGCAGAATAATATAAATTAGGCCTGTCTGGTTTTTGTTTGTAAAGTAACAAAGAACCTTGTTCAGAGAGTAGCTGCCTGGGTCAGTGGTTGCTCTTCCTTGAAATATCTTTTCTAAAAGTGGCTTCTTTCAGGAATTAAAAATATTTTTTAATTGTGGTAAAATACACACAACATGAAACTTGCCATCTTGGCCAGTTTTTAAGCGTACAGTTCTGTGGTGTTAGGTACATTCACATTGCCGTGCAACCAATCTCCAGCACTCTTCATCTTGCAAAACTAAAACTCTGTGCTCATGGGAGCACCTGGGTGGCTCAGCCGGTTAAAACTCTGTGCTCATTAAACAACGTTTCCTTCTCCTACCAGCCATGGGTAACCACTTTTTTATTTTCTGTTTCTGTGGATTTGACTACTCTAGGTGCCTCACAGAAGTAGAATAATTCTCTTTTTATGACCACCTTTTTTCACTTAGCATAATATTCTCAAGGTTCATCCATGCTGTAGTATGTGTCAGAATTCCCTTCCTAGTCAAGGCTGAATAATGTTTCATAGTATGTATGTACCACATTTTGTCTATCTGTTCATCCATCCATGGACACTTGGGCTGTTTCCTTTGGCCTCTGTGAATCATGCTGCTGCATACATGTGTGTGCTCACTAATGTCTCTGAAGGCCACCTGTGGGCCTAAAGACCTTAAACGTTCTTCTTTAGAGGAAGGAGAGTGAAACCAAGACCATAAGATTCCTTGAAAATAGAATGAAAGGGTGTAGCCCCTTTTACATGTTTGCCCCCTGCGAGCTGAAATTGGGGGTCCTGCACCTGTGCCCAAGCCCCGTGAATAGTACCTGACAAGCCACGGGCTTCCCTCATGTGGTAGTCTTCTGGTATGTGTCCTACAAACATTGTCTGAGGTTCCAGCACCCTGAATGTTGATGTCCTTTCCGTCATCAGTTGGCTTACAGTAAATGCATCTTTATTCCTTACTCTTCCTATTATAGTTCCCCCTTCTGCCCCACACTGCCAAATCCAAGGATCCCAGGATATCGGCAGTGATGTCATCCTGCTCTGCAGCTCAGAGGAAGGCATCCCTCGGCCAACTTACCTTTGGGAGAAGTTAGACAATACCCTCAAACTACCTCCAACAGCCACTCAGGGTATGTATGGTGTTGCTTTACCCATTTGATCAGTTACCATGCAAAATTAAAATTCTAAGACTCATGAAGTAATTAAGTTTAATAGATTTTGAAAAATAACACACTGTATCTGTAACTGCGAAAAAGCTATCTAAATCATTTTGTGTTTTCAACTTTAAAGAGAATAAAACATTTTCTCTCTCATGTGCTGCCTTTATGTATCTCATCCAGTGGTAACTGTATATGGAAATCCCATTCTATTACAGTGAAGATTTAAAATAGCTTAATGGTACCTTCTTTATATTGTTAACTGTAAGATAATCCTTGAAGTTTATAACTGAGAAGCCACTTTCTTCTTGAGGCACAGTTGCCTGTTTTAGTATGAGAAACATCAGCATGATCTTGAGGGGGGGTCAGTCATCCTGTTTTCAGCCTCAAGTCTAGTTAGAGGAAGAAGATGGGAAAGAGAACAGGAAAAGATCTCAGATCCTGGGAGAACCAGGAGTTGATCACACCAAACAGGTAAAGAAGGAGGAGACATGAGTGTCATCGATGATTTTCTACATGTAAATCCAGCGATTTAAATTGGTTAATAAAGGAAATACTCTAGAAAATTTGAGGAAAACTGATAAAATAGAATGAGGGAAAATTACAGAATTGTATATAAGATCTTCTATTCCAAGAAAATAAAATTTAGCGGCCTTGAGTGTTGCATCATCTGTGATACAGGGTATGTTTCTTGTAGCATTCTCAGGGCAGGTGTATTAATCTTAAGTTAAAGAGTTGGCAGTTAATGAAGGGGTCCCAAACAACCTGAATTATGGCTGATAAGGTTGAACCATATTGATGGTCGATGGCTGTCATTGAAACACAAAGTCCTAACTTTGGACTTCATACAGGCCACCAGCCCGGTAAGAGCCTGTAAGTTTTCTGTAAGAATCCCAACAGAAATATTAATGGACCTTTCCATCATTTTTTAATTTACTCAGCCCAAAATTAATTATTTAAAAAAACTTCTCAGTGACAGGGGCATAATAACTTCTGGCTTACTCTGGTAATGATTACTGCAATACCGTTGTTCCCCATGGATTGCTAAATTGCTAAATGTTTCAGCTACACTGTGGGGTAAATAGCTTTTTTTGTGAACTAACTTGTTAGTCTCACTATTTACATGTAAGTGGCATGTTTAATCTAGCTCTTGTGTTGAAATCCTGAAAACCATATTTAAATTCCAGATTTTTCCAGTATGTATTTCCAGTGACAGTTTACCTCTCTGGGCCTGTGTAGCCTTTTTTTAAAATAAGGGGATTAAATAATCATTTCCAGTGTTCTTTTTATCAGCACTAAGATTCTATGATTTATATTAAAAACATTTCTGTGAAATATTGGGCTGGGTTTGGAATTACAAATGAATGCTTAAGAGTGGTTGTTTGTATGTAAGTTGAGAAATACACTGTAGAAGGAGCCTGTCACATCTCTTTGTCTCTGAATAAGCGTATCAGTCAAGTTTTTTGGTATCTTCTTTGCAACTTAAATATTTTTTAGTACTTTAGGTAGGAAAGTGAACTTGAATGCTAAAGAAGAAAATGTTTGGCTTTTGTAATTCAAACTCTGGATTAGTTATCAGAATTACTTTGAATAACTTCATTTATCATAATGCACATTAAGTGAATCAGATTTTTTATTTAAATTTACCTCTTGGTACTGATATTAATAAAATAGATCTCAAAATAGTATATAATACTAAAATAACAGATTTTAAAAACACTTTACTAATATGTTTGCAGGTGTTTAATATAAACTCAAGATGTATTCTCTGAGAAAAGAATATTTGACATCAGGGAAGGGCACTCTAGAAGTCAAATTAGTAACAGGGGCATAATATTTGGGGATTAGAATTGTCCTTGTGTGTAGGGGCTAGCTTGAAGGAGCTCCTTTTGGCCAAATCTGGGACAATTTGAAAATTTAAATAAATATATAATCTATTGAATAAAATGAAAATCCCCGAATCCTTGCTGATATGCATAAATAAATGGGAGAGAAGGAAATGTGTTTTCTTAGGGTTAGAATGACAACTAATGTTTGTAGAAGGAACAGTGGAGTTTGAAAATCACCATTGGTGTCAAAATAGTGGGCAAAAGTTTGATAAGGAACTAGATATTTACATAGTTCCAAAGTGTGCCCCTACATATTCCTTATTAATTATAAGATAACTTTATAATGGAGAGACCTGGTTGATAACGACTTTAACCGAGTGATCAAAGTGAACATTACCAATACTGTTAGAAACTGATATCCTGTGCCTACTAATACATGTATGCCTTGAGGAGGACACAGCATCATTTCTGTGGTATTCTTGTCACAAACACATAATCTGAATCCAGTCATGAGGAAACATCAAACAGAGGTGAAGACAAAACTGTTCCAGATTGAAAGAGACTAAGGAGTTAAGAAAATACAATGCAGAATCCTGGATTAGAATCTGGACAGGGGAAGAAAGAGCCAGAAAGGACATTACTGGTACAGTTGATGGAATCTGAGTGTACACTGTAGATTGGGTAATACTACTGTATTGATGTTAAATTTCTTCACTTTGGAACTTGTACTGTGATTATGTAAAGAATGTCTTTGTTCTTAGGAAATATGAAGTACTGTTTGGCCTGTGCTTCTAAGGTCTGCACAACTTGCCCAGGTTTCAGTAAGTGTCTGGGCCTGTGTCACAGTTCACCAACACCTGCCTCAGTGGTTCTCAACTGGGATAGTTTTATTTGGCAGTATATGGAGACATTTTTGGTTATCACAACTGATACAAGAGGGTGCTACCAGCAGCTAGTGGGTAGGGGCTAGGGATGCCACCACAATAAAGAATTATCTGGCCCATGGGGCACCTGGGTGGCTCAGTTAGTTGAGCATCCAGCTCTTGATTTCAGTTCAGATCATGATCTCATGGGTTGTGAGATTGAGCCCGATTTCAGGCTCCATGCTCAGCACAGTCTGCTTTCCCTCTCCCTCTGCTCTTCCCTCCCCCCCAACTTGTTCTCTTTCTCTCAAATAAAATCTGAGAAAAAATAGAAAAGAATTATCTGGCCCAAAATGCCAATGAGTGAATGACATTAATATATTTTCTAATGTTAAATATCCTTGCATTTCTGGAATAAAGTCTATATGATTGTGATTATTTTTTAATAAACTGCTCCATTCGGTATGGTAACATTTTAATAGAATTTTTGCATTTGTGATCATAAATGAGAATGGCTTATGTTTTTTTTTTCTGTCTTCCATTGCCCTGGTTCAATTTTAGTACCAGATTATATAAGGGTCTCATAAAATGAGTTAGGCAGTTTTCCCTCTTTTTCTATACTCTGATATAGTATGAATAAGATGGAGATTATTTGATGATTTTGTAAATTTGCCTATAAAAGCTTTGCCTTGCTGTTATATTTTGTTGGTAGATTTTTGACTACTGACTACTGTTGGTAGATATTTTTCTAGTGATATGAGTTTACTTAGATTTTCTGTATCTTCTCTATTTTTTCTTTTTTTTAAGATATTATGTATTTGAGAGAGAAAAAGAGTGCATGCATAACTGGGGAGGGGAGGGGCAGAGGGAGAGGGAGAAACAGACCCCCCACTGAGCAGGGAGCCCCATCTAGGGCTCGATCCCAGGACTCTGAGATCATGACCTGAGCTGAAGGCAGATGCTTAACCGGTTGAGCCACCCAAGTACCCCTCTTCTCTGTTTTTCTAGAAAACATCTTTTTTTTTGTCTGAGTTTATACATATTGGCATCAAGTTGTTCATATATTCTATGAAGTCAGGAGAATGTATCTAAGAGTGCAGGTTCTGGAGTCAGAGGACGTGATTTGGAATCCTGGCTCCAGGGGTGACTGGTTGTGTGACCTTGTGCCTTAGTTTTCTTACATGTAAAATGGACACAATAATACTAATTCCCTCACAGGGGTGGAATAAAGATTAAATGAAAACATGTGCAAAGCTTTTAGAACAGCATTTGGCATGAATAAGTATTTAATAAATACTAATGTTTTTATTATCATTAGTATTATTTTCTTATATATTTTAAAACTCTTATATTTCCTTTTTTATTATTCTGTTTATTTATGCTTTTTCATCTTTATTTTTTGGATCAATCTTGTTAAATCAAGCTTTCGATTTTATACTTTTGTATACTGATATTAATTCTGTTCATTTATTCATTCAACAAATATATGGTAGACACCTACTAGGTTCCAGACACTGTTCTAGCTGCTGGAGATAGAGTGGAGAACAGAACAGAAATGCTTCTTTCGTTGATAGAACTTACTTTTTAGTGGGTGGAGACTGAATGTAACGAATCAGTAAATCACAGTTTATTATCATATGATGCCTTCTGGGGGGAAAACATGGAGGAAGGTAAAATGGATTCGTTGGGGCATGAGTTCTGCTGCAATGTTGAATAAAGTGCTTAGGGTAAATCTCACCAAGAGGATGATAATCTAAAGTTGACGTAAAAAAGATGAAAGAATGAGCTTTGTGAATATGGGGGCTGGAGAGTATTCCAGGCAGAGGGAACAGCCATCTGAAGGCCCTGAGGCCAGAATGCGCCTCGTGTTTTGGATGAACAGCAAAGAGGCCAGTGTGTTTTGAGTGGAGCAAGCGAAGCAGAGGATAGTGAGAGCTATGATGTCCAGTTACAGGTGCTAGGATGGAGATAACAGGCACACCTCACAGATATTGTGGGTGTAGTTGCAGACCACCATAATAAAGCAAATATCATAGTAAAGTGGGTCAAGTGAATTCTTTGGTTTCCCAGTGCATGTAAAAGTTATGTTTGCATTATACTGTAGTCTGTCAAGTGTGCAATAGCATTATCTCTAAAAAAACAATGTATGTACCTTCATTTAAAAGTACTTTAGTTCTAAAATATGCCAACCATCATCTGAGCTTTCAGTGAGTTACTATCATTTTGCTTGTAGAAGGTCTTGGCTCCGTCTTGATGGCTGCTGACTGGTGAGGGTGGTGGT